ACAGGATCCTACAAGCTTAATCTGGGGGGCAGGGTTAATTCGTTCTGGTGGTAGAAGAGCTGAAGAACTTCTGAGACATACCCAGCCTTTCCATCACACTCACCATCTTGTACTTTATCATATCCTTCCATGATATCTTTTTCTCAAACCCAATAGTCCTAGTTTACTTCATGGCTCCTAGGAGGGAAGTTGTATTTTTGGCCAACATTCAGCTCTTCTCTGAATATTTCCCAGTCCTAGTTTACATGTTTTGTTTTGTTTTGTTTTGTGTGTTTTTTTTTTGGTTTTTTTTTTTTTAACAGGACTAGCACAACAAACAGTAAGTTCAGATTTTAATTCTTTCAACCCTTTTCTATGCCACATAATACTCTACTTTTACAAGCAATACTAGAGATTTCAATCTGACTTGTAATCTCTCTGAGTTATATTTTCCTCATCTTTAAGGAAAGGATAACATAAAATACTTCTATGACAAGATTTCTAAGAAGATGGATGTGATTATTTTACTCTTACTGACATGAGGAACACATTTCCTCTGCCCACTGGACCAAAAGACACTCTGTTTAGGAAGTGTCTCAATGGCACAGCACAAAGGCATAGCTTAGATCTAAAGACATCCCTGAAATGTAAAACCAAACAGAGCACAGAGCTGGAGGCCAACTGACTGGATTTTAGTTCTTAGAGTATGGGACATTAAAAAATGGAACAGAAGCCCCAGTTGCAGATTCCTCCCAGAAAGGCTGGCAAGGGACAAAAACTTCTTCACAACTATTCACTATAATTGCTATAACAATCAATAAATATGGATAGCAAAAACGTTTTCTGAAACTGAAGTACTGGAAAATCTTCTAGTGTTTTGAATTTGACAAAACAGTATGGAAGAGTAACTTCTCATGGCACAAAATCACGTTAAAGCTAAGGTTCTATCTATTTTTCAACAACTCTAAGACTGAAACCAAGAAACTAAATAAACCTAACTCACAGATTGGCTGCATTTGACATCAGATGTGTAGCTTTTGAAATGCTGATGTCTTTTTTTCAGGCTACACATGTTAAAATTGAATGAAGAGGCATTGTCAGCTTTAATGTATATATGTAACAGCAATGAAGAGCAAGCAGCTGCTGTTGTGGATCCCAGTTACCATAGCAATGCATTCCCATAGACATTTTCAAACTCATTTATAATAACAGTGCCTTTAGTAAACAAGAATGCAAAGTTGCTGATAGCATTCACATGGTTTCCTGTATTATGGATTTTAGATGTTTACAATAAAATAAACTTCATTATCGATGGACAGTCCCCACTGAAGGAACATGATGAAGTAAATTATTAATTGAATCTGTTACTTCAGATGCAGGATGACTCCATAGAAGTTCAAGCCGATATCCAAACAATGATATATTACATTTGGTGCAGTTTTACCAGGTTCATACTTATACAAAATAATACAAAAAGAAGAAGGAAGTTCACAGGCCCAGAATTTCCATGCCATGAAAATTCTGATTAGTATAATATAAAGCAGTCTGATCACAGAGTGGTATACAGGAAGAAATAAATAATCCAATCTCAACCCTCCCAGCATACAAACCTGAAAATCCATGTTAAGCAATGATACTTCTAAATGAACAGATGTCAGATGCTATATAATAATACATGTAGAGCTAATTGAACAAAAAAGTTACACATAAAAGCAGCAAAATTCTCCATTGAAAGTAAAGATATTATGTATTTATGGTAAAATTATTGTGTAAAGTTCAAAAATGAAAACAAATTACTTTATTGAGAATCTCTAAATTTCCATCAAAACCAAAATAATTAGACTTCACCCAAGGACATAAGCACTGTCACCCTGCTCTTACACCAATATAAAGAACATACTGCATGAAATCAGGATAAAAATAGATGTTGACTTTAAAGGACAAAGACCATCCTTAATCTGTACTTGAAGATGTGAGGAAAGAGAAAGGAGAACTTGAAAATACTTTTGCAGCTTTTGATATTCAGTTTCAGGGCAGTAACCAGGCACTGTCCAATTCATGATGATAAAGCATATTTGCTAGGATGTTTATTCTGCTAAATAATCTGTAATGTTGTTCAGCTGCTCAAAGGCTGTAAGAGGCAGCAATTAAAAGGAAGAAGAAATCGAGGAAAAATGCCAGATTACTAAAAGCAAAAATTCTACAGAACCAGTATTTCTGTTACACTGTACCAAATACAGTATCTTATGTGCATAAAATTCAACACAATTAAAAATTTTAGAATCATTAATAAAATTGTCATCTTCTTGCTTTTTTTTTTTTTCATCTTTGCTTTCACTCTAAGCAAGAATTAGTATTGTACACAGACAATTAAAACCCCAATTTACTGTAATTTTTATTGGTTAAAGAAAGTCACTCCCTTCCACTAGTAAGATTAAGAGACTTTTAGGTGTTAATTTTCCAGAAGCACAATACTAATTTCATTTTGCCATCAGTAAGTGGGACAGCATAACAAATGAGATTTTCAATCTGCCAAAGGCAGAGTGCAGAACAGAAGTTGTGTGCTACACATCCTGAGAAAAGTGCTAACAGTGTCCCTCTGAGTGTGATGGATGGTTGGTTGGACAGATCCTTTACACAGGCCAACCATATATCCAGATTCCTTCAGATATGCTCCACTTTCTGCTCAAGGATCAAATCTGAAAGATGTCTGAGGATATTGAATGTTTGTCCCAACCTGTGGCTGTCCCCCAAACATAAAAAGGGAAAATATTCAGAAATCTCAGGCATGGCCACTGCAGCCCTTGCTGGGACATAGCTTCTGAACTATGTGCATGCAGTCAGTCTGATGCATGTGAACATAAATATGTAAAGTCTGGGTTATAAAGGTGCAGAACTTGGAATTGTTCTTCCAGCATATCTTTCAGACCTGCCTGGCTAAAGGGACAAAGATCCCTGTTTTGAAAGTGGCAAGGTGGATTTGGTGCTTGAGTGTGGGAATGAGTGTCTAGGCAATTAAGAAAAACAGATACTCCAAACTCTTTTGCAGTATCTGCAAGGATTTTGAGATAGCTGCCATTTCAAACAGCTGCTTATTCTGTAGTTTGAAACAAGAGCTCAGAGTGAAGTGCCCTGGTAAGGGAGAGTCTGTTATCAGACCTTTCAATAGAGCTGCTGGATTATCTTTTCTTTCGAAACTGTTTAAATTCTGAGTGGTTGTTTGCTTTTTCATTGTGGAGGCCTGGAGCTATTCAAGTCTTCTTTCAAATCAATACACTGGATAATTTAACGTTGTGCAGGATGTCTCTGCAGCTGTGGAGTCTGTGATCACCATGAGGCCTCTCAATGTCTCTGAAAACAGTGGGAATATATTATGTCCACTTGTATAAAAAGTCTGTGCATGACTCCAACCCACCACTGTTATGGGAGATGTAGAAAATCCCCAGATGGAGGCAGCAGTATTAGGGAACTGTTGGAATGGCCCTTCCTACCACACAGCAAATGGAGAGCCTGCTGCTGTGCTGCGGGCAGCCCTTGGTGAGAACCTGCTGCACCTCAGAGAGCGTCGTCACTGGCACTCCAGTGCTGGCCTGTGTTTGCATCCCAGTCACTGCAAGCTCTGCTCATTTACGCTGTCATATAGAATGAAGTCTGCACAGGAAAACTACTGGAGTTGACTTTGAAGGCTAGTCAGAAGGTGGCAACTCTAGGAAGACAGGAAATGCATGCATTATAATGCATTATCTGGTTTATTTTGCATTCCCCTGCTCTTTGAAATGGATCATTCACAATTCCACCTTTAAACACTACAAGGTATATCTGTCATTCTTTCAGAATTAACCATTTTTTACTCAATTGGTCCCCCTCCTTTGCTTTTTCTTTCCAACTCTCCCTCAAGCTTTTCTTTCCACACATTGTAGTCTTTCAAATGGTTGCATTTCCCATTCATTCTGCTTTTTTTCATTACCCAAAATTTGTAAATCTGTAAAACCAAGTTTTAAAGACACATTGAAAGGCAGCCTCCACTTTCCCTTATCCCTCACGAACAATCTCCATGGTCTCCAGTGAATGCCAGTGAAACCAGAAATAGCTACAGAACAAGTTTTCTGATCTGTTTAGAAACAGCAGATTTATTTGTTTATGAATTTGCAATGTCAAATGCTTTAAGAGCAGTACATTGTTGTTGAAAGAGCGCATTAAACTATTTAAATGATTCTTTGTACTTTAAAATGTTTTCATCTAGTAAAGATTAAAATATTCTGTCTGTGTTCAGAAGGATCAAGCTGTTTCCCTATAAATGAGCAAATGAGAAAGCTTGAGAAATAAGCAATGCAGAAAATAAACATTAATTCAGTATATTTGTTTATATTTGGATTTGTTAGTGATTTAATAACATACAGACCAGATATTGTTAGATAAAAAAAAACCACTATCAACATGTGAAGACCAAACATGTTTAGCTAGTTAGTTTGGAAGTTTCCATGCAGAAAAAAATCAGTTCACCTTTCAGAATCAATTATGATTATTTGAAATATGGCATCAAGCAGTGCATCTCCTAATGAAGAGCTGAATTAAGGGAAATTATATATATTTATATTTATACTTAATTTGTCAGAAACTCACTGGTTTGCAGACCAGAATTTGCTGATGGAGTGTTTTCACCCTGCCAGCAGCATTTAATAAGGCATTTTGAAACAGACATGGTCAGTGACAAAATCTCAGTAAAATAAGTACTTTAAACGAGACATAGAAGTGTCAAAACACAGAACAGGAATATCAGTAGATGCCAACATGAAAAGACAATTGTATGTCCAATATTCAAGATACTAAGCACCCAAAGTTTTGTATAGTGCATATAAAACAACTGCTACACTTCTTTCGCAACGACCGTATCTCTACTGCACTTTTGGGACTGGACAGGGAGTGAGTTACTTCTCACAATACGACGGTTGTCTTTAACTTGTGAGAGCATAGCGTTTCACCCTTTTTCTTAATCTCTGTTGCTCTGTTTTGTGTTAGTTTTATAGAACGGCTCTTAGGCAGAGGCAGTGCCGGTGGCAGCACTCCCAGCGACGCCGTGGAGGCAGCCCACAGCACGGCACATTCCTCAGCACGGCTCCGGACGGTTCTTCCCCCGGAGTGGAGACAGAGTGAATACATTTCACAGGATCAGGTGTAGCGTTCCAGCGATCAAACGAGACGCACGAACTGCCCCTTGCCAGCTCTGGGGAAGCCAAGCGCGGACGCGGCGGGACCCGTGAGGGCGGGCGGCGCGCGCCCGCTGCGCCGCGAGGCTGCGGCGGGAGCAGGGGCGGGCAGGGACACGGGGGTGGCGGACACTGCTGGGGCAGCACGGCCGTCCCGGGCCGGCCTCGGGCAGGGCGCTTTCCGCGGACACCGGGAGAGCGCTGCAGCCCCGGGCGGGGCGGGGGCGGACTCGGCGGACACACACGGACACACACACAGACACACGCAACATGGCGGCAGCCAGAGCCAGCCCCGCGCCCCCTCCCCCGGCGGCTCGAGAGTCCGGCGGGGCCGGGGGCTGAGGGGCGGGAAGGGCGCCGCGCCCCGCCCCCCGCGCGCGTGGCGGCCCCGCCCCCGCGCAACATGGCGGCAGCCAGAGCCAGCCCCGCGCCCCCTCCCCCGGCGGCTCGAGAGTCCGGCGGGGCCGGGGGCTGAGGGGCGGGAAGGGCGCCGCGCCCCGCCCCCCGCGCGCGTGGCGGCCCCGCCCCCG